TTATGGATGAATGTGTATCTTGATTAAATCACAAACAAAAACTAACGCAATTTGGCTTACAACAGCAATACTTTCGCATTGTAATATCTTTATTGTTTTCTATTCTTGACGTAAAAATACGGTAGGAATATTATCAAGGTCTGATATTGCTAGCTGATACATCCGGAAGAATATACAGTATCGCAAACTCGTAATATCATAACAAATTATGTCGATCGGTTCCAAATACCAAATGCACAATAATGAAACTATATATACTTTCTCAAAAATTACATTTTTACATATGAACAAATTATGCTAATTTCTAGGAACAGTAATTGGAAACGTATAGGCAGGGTGTGTCAATGCAATACGTCACACGTATAAATAGAGACGATACAACACATTCATAGCGGTATACAATACTATAAATGTACATAAATATCTATTACTAAAGCATAGAATGTACCCACCTTTACCCAGATGTTTATCACTCATTTTCTGCAATAAACAATTACAATAATACGACTAGATTGAACCTTCAGCTGCCACACCAAATACAACAGTACAGACGTCTGCAAGCACAGCTGTTCTTTGTCAGCGAGTAGGGAAACACACCATACAGTCTATACATGCCCACGCAGCACAGCAAACGGAGACTTTTTGAATTACATAAAAGCCAGTGAAAGAAAATAAAACAATTCGATGTCCAGACATGCGAAAAATAAAATTATATTGTCAAGAATATTAGTTTATTATTAAATCAAAATAATTCTATTGAGTTTGTAGCACACTTCTAATAAACTGGCTGTGAGCTGTTGAAGCTGGCTTTATAGTATGCAGAACTGTCGAGAGATGGACCAGTATGGAGTAGTTTTATCTAAGGTTCTAGGACGGCTTACCACCACCCAATACATTAGCCAATGAGGGATTCGACGCGAACCGCGAAAATATTAACATTTATTGCAGAACAAAAAACATACACAAGAGAAAAAATAACAGTGTCTGTTCGAACAAGATTTTCTTTCCGTCAACACACCGCAATACATGAATGTTGCAGCCCATGATGTTCGAAAAGAAGCATACAGACCTATAGGGAAAACACCTTGCGGGAAATTGATGAAATCAAGGTTGGTGTCAGGAAGAAGTAACAGAAGATTAATTCAGACAACCCCACCTAGTATTCATTTCCCTATACAAAACACTTAACACTGAACTCTGATTTTACTTATTCATTTATATGAGTGTGGTTTCTCAGCGTAAGTGAATAACATAGATAGAAGGAATTTGAGAACAGGATACTGAGGAGAATATTTGGACACAAGCGACGGAAGTAACAGCAGAACAGAGAAAATTACAATTAAATTATTTGGTTATTCCGTCAAATCACAATGTATTTAAAATAAGATAATTAAAATAATTAAAATATCATTCTGTGTTACATTGTGATTTGACGGAATAACCAAATAATTTAATTTTAATTTAATAAATCACAATATGACGCAACTACACTATTTTAGAGAAAATTACATAATAAGAAACTTCATAACTTGCGCACTTCCAAAATATTATTAAGACGATCAATTAAGGAGGTGTATGGTACATGCAGTACACATGAGGAATCAAGAAAAGTATACAAACTCTAATCGGAAGATCAAGTAACCAGGTGTCGAGGGCCCTTTAAGAATTTAACATAAAAAGAGCGGACTGAAACAGGACATGGTCCAATAACGGACTGTTCTAAACACGACAATGAAACTGTGGGTTCTATAAAAGTCAGGAAATTTCTGCACTAGTTGCGGGACTATTAGTTTGTCAAGAAGTATTCTGCTCTACGTCGTTGATTAATTGACCGAAGCAAAATGTAGGCTACCCTATTTGTTTTAGCCCAATGTTAAATATTCGAAGAAGTGCAATTGAAATCCAAAATAAGACAGCAGGGAATAAATTTTAGCTTTGTTATTCAAACCGCAGTAGGCGGTCTCGGCTCGCCTCTTGTATTTTATTTCAGGTAATTTTATTATCGCTTTTAAGCGACATATCAAATAATTAATCAAAACAGTTGGAAACGCAGTAATGACTCCGTCATATCTTGGAAAGCTGACATTTATTTTGATGTTAGACATACTTTTTCGTACTGCAGATCTTTTGACCAACGCTAGTTACCTTCCAAATTAGCAAATTGATTATAATTACTAATATTATAATTAATGTTATTCATATCGGAGTTTAGCAAACGCGTCTGGCCTGTAGGCCCACTGAAACACGGCCCAGATAGAGTGTAGTGCGCAGAGACGGTTATACTAACTCTGATTTTTCGAGAGTTTCCTTGTCCTTTCACGATAAAAGCCCTCGACCACTTCCATTTCATCACTCCATTTTGATTCTATTCATCATTCCATTTAGATTCAAACGTATTTAAAATTTCCAGTTAGAATAGTGTTGTTAAAAACTTAAGAACCAATTGTCTATCGGTCTATTTTGGATTCGAAAGGTTCCTGAATATCGGCTGGTGCATCGATATCCTGACTGAAATTTTTGGTGATTTTTTCCAGTTCTTCAAGTGAATAGGACTTTAAATATATCATGACCGCTTCATTTTATAATACATAATCATCTTACTATCTCTTTAGGCACTAAATATATTTTGTAGATGACACAGTGAGATAAAATACGGAAGAAAAGCACAAACCAAGCGTCTGTTTTCAGATTGCCATCCTTGTCATCTCTCGTCATACTGGTCTGTGAGTGCCTCTGAACATACTCCCGTTCACCCTCGTATCTATATTTGTTTCTCACAGTCGGCCCACGGTCGGCTCTGTTCTCACCTGCTGCCCGCCCCAAGAGATGGATATCACACATTTATCTCGGTAATTAGTAACTCTTAAGCCACGTGACCTGCCAGTAGGTCTTGAGTCATACTTGAACTTAAGCGTGAGAGAATAAGAGAACGTCAGGTTTCCATGGCTGTAACAGTATCAGGCATGTCCGTTTATTCGTCAGTACGTTTCATCCCCCAAAGTATTTACCAGATTTGGATGGAATTTGGTATTAGGGATGTGGGAAATCCACGACAAAAGTTGTTGAGCGAAATTCGTTTAGATTCTTATCGGTCTAGTATACTTTAGATTAACTCAAATCAAACTCATGAAAAATATTGGTCACATAACTTATTATGTATAAGATGTCATTTACAACTATAATTACTGTTTTAAAGTGTGAATATTAAAAAAATATGACTCTATGACATGCTTAATCTATAGTTATTCTGCGATATCGGCATTGTTGCTGTTTTAATTGTTATTATTTCTATCGTTCTGTTAGTGACATCGTCACTGGACATCGCAGTTACATCTATGGTTCGCCGAGCTTCCTAGCCAGCGGATACCGTGTCTCTTGACAGGGAGTGAAAAGAACCGACCATTCACCTGAACCTAGCGCTGAGGTAACACAATTCATGGAACTTTATTATAATTCCCCATATAGCTTCATAGTGGGGTTTAGCCCACCTAATTAGGCGCAAGCCGTTATTATTCTGAGGAGAATGTTTGGACCCAAAGTTGTCCCTGGTACTGAAACTGAGCATTACGCCAGGCACACGCATGGGGAAATGGATGTAAGTATAGCTTCATGCATTTTGACCCGGGAAGTAAACGGAGATGAGTGATTAGCTTCACACACCGCCCATTTCACCCCCGAGAAAAGAATCCCGATACCTATTTATTGGAGAGGAGACTGAGTGGGCCTCGGAGCCGGTCTGGACGTTGCAGCGAAAAAAGAAAGCTCAGACTGTCGTGAATCGAACCCCAGTCGTCCAGCCCGAAGCCTACCCACTAAAAGAAAGGACGTACCCGGAGCATGGGGAAAATTCCACGATGAGGAACTTAGTAAATTTTACTCTTCACAAAATAATTCTATTATGTGCCATCAGAAAAAATGATGATGGAACAGAGTCCTTCTTAAGAAACCAGTAGCCGCTCAGCTTATCAAGAAGTTCCCGTCCTTTTTATAGAAATCAAAGGCTAATTTTCGTGTTCACATGAGCCGTTTGCACTCAGTCCATAAATACAATATTGTCTTTAAGATTCATCATAATATTATTGTCCCATCTGAATATGCCACTTCTAAGTGATATCTTCCATTCATGTTTCCGACCGAAATATTACAAGCAATCCCTTATCCAAGCCTTGTGGCCTTCCCATACGGCATTTATTGTTATTATTATTATTTAAACCATGGTGTCATCGTAAACCCTATAAACAGGCCACACCACTACAGCAAGCCCCCATATTCACACTGTGTTAATGTAAAAGTTACTTGGAGCTCAAATTTATTATAGCCGTATACACAGCAGATAGTTGAGGAACGAGGGAGAGATTTATAATATGTTACGCGAAGTTTGCTCCCAGCAATCTGGAGGGATCCATTGAAGACGGAGGCGCACACTTCACCGCCCACATCAAACAAAGACAAAAGAGACGCGACGCAGCGAATCAAACTTTTCTAAGCCCGTAGTGAGAGGGAATGAAGACGATGCTGACAAAAGGATGTTAATGGGGCGGATTCAAGGAACGTCTCTCACCCCCACAGTGTAAGTACCAACGGACAAATTCTGTGCGGGAGAGTGGGGGACGGAGAGGAGATTTTCTTTGGAGTCACATAACTACGAAACTCGTGAATAGACACTGGATGTGAAATCTGTTGGACTTTCTGTACATGAAGGATCACTTTCATTCTACAGTGCTTCTGCTGCTGCGACTTCTAAGAATTTTTTCTTTCCTAATCACCAAAGACGTTGAGAGTCTTGGCTAAGTACCAACTTCAAAAACTGACGTAGAAGTTTAGCTGTGAGTTTCGAGAACAGATCAATCAATTTCTCTGGATAAATGGATTCAGCCCCCAACAAAGTGCTGTTATTTCTACCGTATGTCATTTTCATAATTTCGGATACAACACGAAAAACCCATGCTTCTCTTAGGATTATACAGTTAAAACATTTACTGGCTTTTCCATTATTTACAGACAGACATTATTTGACGACACTCTACCAAATGCTGAACATTTTTTGACTCGTTGTGGACGACATGAGCCCACGTGGGATTGCCAGGAAACTTCAACGAAAGAAAGTACTTTGGAGTCCTAGGCGTAAATGCGAGGATAATATTAAAGTGAATCGTAAATAAATAGGATGTGAAGGTGTGAACTGGGTTCGTCTAGTTCAAGATAGTTTCCAGTAGCAGGCTTTTGTGAACACAGTAATATGCCCTCGAGTTCGATACAAATTGGTGAATATCTTGAACAGGTGAGTGACTACCATCTTCCAAGCAAGGTCTCCGCTCCATAATTAGAATCAGTTAGTTAGTTCGGTGCCAAGTTATTTACCCAGGTTTAAACAATATATTGTCTTCTATGCGGAAAGCACCTGATTCAAAATCGAACCGGACGTTTCAAACATTGTTTCCTTCAAAATTTCAAGCAAATTCCGAAATGCTTTGTTAACATTAAACATCCATCCCCTACCAGTATTTCACGTTCCGACCGCTT